ACTTCATGTTTTTGTAGGTTTTAATGTTTCAAATATCAAATGAAGTTACAGATGGAGTATTTGTATAAAACTTGATGATTTGAAGTTAATTTGAAGTTGACATGATGTGCAAATGATGATATAATGAAGAAATAAGAAGGAAAAAGAATTGGAGGACATGACACATTTCAGTAATTTAGCCATAATATGAGTTACAAAGATCAAATTGAGATGATGCTTGATTCATTTTGAATGTAGGACAATTTTATACAATTCTTATGAAGGCATCAAAATCTAGTTCTCATGATTTCATATCCAAATATCTAAATTACTAAAGCCAGCTTCTGCTGCAATGCTCATCCAACCAGTGTCAATATTTTGATCATATCTCAATATTCACACCTCCAACTGACCTAATTCTCATATCATTGGAAAGTTAATTCAAGGAGTTACAACTTTCATGCTTAATACAAATGTTGATTTGGCTGTTTCCATGGATTAAAATACAAAGGAAGAAACCATTTATGACCAGAAATGGTTTGAGTAGCAGTATAGAGGTAGAATGGTTTTTGAAGTTGATTGAAATTTCTTGCCGAAGAAGAAACCAGTTCTCCAAGCTAGTTCTTGTCCAAGGTGCAGTTTCAAGGTCCGGTTTCTCATCCAAAGAGCTTCTATGCAACTTGCACAACTTGATCCATGTTGATGCATCTTTCTTCATTTCACTTTTGAGCTGAAAGGATCAACTTGATGGCAAGGTTCAAAGCTCAAGACAGTCACTTTTTCAATGTTTAACAACTTTCATCAATTGGAATCAACTTTTAGCAACTTTTATGGACTTTTTGGAAATTCTTTGTCAAGCTTTCACATTGGAGATGAAGACTTTTTGGTGTCTTGGAGAAATGAAGTTTTGGAAGTTTGTAGAGAATTTTCTCTGTAAATAGAGGCTTGTTGCTTCATTTGGGAGCTAAGTTTGGAGGTGTGAAGAAAATTCTTCACTTCAAGATGTTGTTCTTATACTTTAGATAGTGTGGCATAGTTTAGGTCAGTTAGTTTATCCTTTCTTATTTATTAGTTAGGCAAGATGAAAAAGGAAATGAACTCTTCTAACAAGGGTTACATTTCTTTCCAAACTCTGTCTTTTTGTATTGGATTCTATTGTTTAGTTATTATAAAAGTTTGGATTTTATGTTCAATGTTTGTTGCTAAAGTTATGCTTAGAGTTATGAATTTTCTATATTTTATTTGTGATGTTTACTTGGCTATTTGATCATATGACTTTGAGCAAGGTATGTAGCACTTTTGTGGCTTTGGTGGCATTATTCCATGTAATTTCATAGAAGAAATAAACTTGTAGTTAATTTCATAACCATGAGAGTAAATATGATTTAGCTATAAGTGTCGTTAATTTCACATATATTAGAAAATTATGCCATGCGTTGCCAAGATAATAACAATTCAATTAATTGGTAAATTACTTGTAAGAATAGTAAGAAATTTCATAATTCTAAGAGCTTTTTAATATCATTTTTACTTCATTTAATTTCATGATTGTAGTTTAGATTTACTTGCTTTAACTTGTGGTCGTCTAAATAATAAAGGAGTTTGAAAATTATCGAATTTTGACAATCTTTTTTTATAGGATCGATACCTAATATTCCCTATGCTCGATCAATGATCTATATACTTGTAAAAAGTTAGGTATCTAGATTTTTAAAATTTGGTGTGAAGTAAAAATCTCGATTTTTTAGGTATCTAGATTTTTAAAATTTGGTCTGAAGTAAAAATCTCGTCAGGCATCGGTGTAATGCATACTTTTCACAACATACCAAAAGTGACATGCTTGTGAATGATATCACCAAGTCATTTAGTAGTTGTCCTAGAATTAGCGAAGTCATTCATGAGCATTTAGTTTCTCCTAGTTGAGGTCATTCTTATCAACTGAAACGTCCTAGTGGTGTCCAATATGTAATTGATATGAACGACAACACTTGTAGTTGTGGGTTGGGCAATTGAGTGGAACCTTATGTGCATTCTATCCTCTCAATCCATGCGAGAGGCCTCTACCCGCATGTGTCGGTGGATAATTACTCATTACTACACTGCTCAAAATTGTGCCCTCTTGTGTGTGTGTTCACATGCTCCAACCCCTACCCAAAAAAAAAAAAAAAAAAAAAAAAAACCTCCAACCCCTCAAAGGAACTACATTACGATTAGGCATGTAAATGAGTAGGTTTTGGGTTGAATCCCTTTGATCTACATCCAAATCCATTAGATTTAATTAGACCCAAACCAGATTTAGACCCTTCTGAATCTGAAAAATGATGTCTAGACCAAAACCCTTATGGATCTGGGTATCCAATGGGTATTCATTATATTTTTTTAAACATACTAAAGTAAAAAAATATTAAAAAATATAGAGTTCAAGTATAACATAAATGCCATCCAATGTTTATTTTGAAATAATGAAATTAATATTCAAGAAGTTGAATGCAATATTATGAACTCCTAAAAAGAACTATTATCGACTGCTTCTATTTATTTTCAAAGTTTCAACTATATCCATGTCCAATGTTTCATTTATTTGCCTTTATTTTTTCTCTTTTTCCCAAAAAAGGTTTGTACCAATTACAATAACAACTAGGATTAGTTTGAAAAAGAAAACAATCATAAAATCTTACTATATTCGATCCAATGACCATAAAATATTTGATTGTTTTATAAATTTACTAATATATATACATATATGCATGGATGCATGCATAAATACGTAAATATATATATGTATATACATATATACATATACATACATATATATATATGTGTGTGTGTGTGTAATTTAATTATATATACATGGGTTTAGGTAGGGTTTGAATTTGAGAAATTAAATTCAAATCCTATCCAAGTATATTGGGTCTGTGTTAGATCGGAGTAAGATCCGACCTATTGGCATACTTAATTGTGATCCAATAGCAATCCACCTTTATTTTAACCCACCCAAACTAAACTTAAATTTGAAGTAGGACACGCACTCATAAAGTTATACTACTTTTTCACCTTGCACTGTAAATTTTAATATTAGACTCTTTGAACCCTAAACTGTCAATTTTGGTCATTTTACACTTTAAACTCTCAAGGTGTACTATTTAAGTCCAATTAATGACAGCGCTCATTGAGATCATACAAAACAATGGCAATGTACTAAAAGTAATAAAAAAGAGCCAAGAGATTGCAGTTAGAACAAAATGATCATTATCATTAATTTGCACCATTTTTGTCTCATTAATTTTGCTAGCATTGTCAATGATTTTATTTAAATAGGACAAACTTAAGAGTGAGAAAGTAATACAAGTTTAAAATTTAAAATTTGAAATACAAAGTGAGAAAGTAATACAAGTTTAGAGGTGCAAAGTAGAGTTAGGCCTCATTTGCAATTGTGGTGCTTTTGATTAAAAAACACTTTTAGATGCTAAAAGTACTTTTGAACCATTTGGTAAATATTATCCCACAAAATTAGGAGCAGAGTTTTTGAAGTTAAAAACACTTTTAGCAAAAGATCAAATTTGGTGCAATTAGAGTAGCTTTTATGTTTTAAAAAATAAAACATTGAATTTAATCATTTTATCCTATTATGAACTAAACAAAGAGATAAATATATTTAAAAAATTTTAAATTATGTATTATTTAATACAATAAGCACTTATTGAATTATGTGTCCAACAATATTATTAAAAGCACTTAAACACTGAACAAGTACTTTTATTTAAAAATTTTTTATATGAAGTTCCTTTAAATAAGCTACCGTGACCCAAATGGGTCCTTAGTTCATTTAAGTATATAAAGTATTTAGAGAAGAACAATGTCTTATAACTTAATTTTTTTATTTAAGAAAAGTAGATATATTTTTGGAACGGAGTAAAAAACCAAGTGATGTTTGAGTTATATGAGTAGGTCCACTTGTCCACATATCAACTTGTGGATACTGATGGACCTTTAAGACCATTCATGCTGAATAGGGAGTCGTTCCTCACCCTCCCCGTGCTTATGTTTGCGCCATGCGCGATGGGTTTTAAATAATCATTGGCAATACTTTCTATTATTATTTTTTTTTTGGGAATTATCATTAGGATGACTTGCATGAGACAATGTAAAGATTCCATTGTAATTGTGGATACTATAAGAGGTACCGTTCATTCGTCAGACTGATCAACTCAGTTTTTGAAATTTGTCCAAGTTTTAATATCAACGACGCAATCACATTGTCTACGACAATTGTTGTGAAACTCATCCAGTGCTGTGTGAGTGTACATAAAGATTGCAATTTCCCAAATATGGAAAATTTTATTCAAATGAAGGTTTTCAGTCTGCAACATAAAGGGGCGAATCAACCGTTTTGGAGAAAAATTATTTATAGCATTTCAAGGTTTTGATTTTAATGCGACTACTACGTGCTCCAACACAACCTTTTTGACACGTCATACTGTTCCCATTATAGTAAAATAATATAGCACAAAATAAAAAAGACAATAAGTATAAGGGTTTTCCTAACAGGTACCCTATATATACATATTAATAATTATTACTTTTTCTTGTATTTATATACTTTCTCTATTTAATCTTAGCTACCATTCATTGTATTTATTTATTTTTTCTAATTAATCTTACATTTTGAAAAATATGATACTTGAAATATATCTTAACGAATGTTAGACATATCCAATAAGTGTTTTTCCAACGGGTGTCCTAGATATATATATATACTAACAATTGTTATCTTTTCTTGTATTTATATACTTTCTCTATTTAATCTTATCCTTGTATTTACATTTTCAAAAATATGACAGTTGAAATATATTTTAATAAAGGGAGAATTGTAATTTTGGTCCCCAATCTATAGTGTATGCGCGGAATTATCCCCAATCTATTTCGAAAATCAATTTTGATCCCCAATCTATTCAATTTTACGCTAAAGTGGACAATTGACGGAATCTCTTCAATTTCAATCGGAACTAAGTCACGTGAGATCACGTGCGAGCACCTAAAACCCCTTTTTCAATTTTTTTATTTCTAAAACACGCTTTTTCTAGTGGCTTAGCTTTTGGCATGGGCACTCCTATTCCTTCAGCCAGATCAATTTCCTCCTCGCCAATTCTTTTCCAATCAAAACTCTGAATTAGAGATCCCAAGACCAAACCCACCACCCGCTGTGCTAGGCCAGAACCAGGGCAAGATCTCCTTCCCATCCCAAATGGAATCAGCTTTGATGGCTGAACCTGCAAGCCTTTGAATCTCTCTGGCTTGAAGCTTGTTGGATTATCCCATACGTTTGGGTCCCTGTGAACTGTCCATGCATTAACTAGCAAAATTGTGTCTCGCAGAATATTGTATCCCCCAATTTTATAGTCATCGGACGACTCATGTGGCACTAGCATTGGTGCTGCTGGGTACAACTGAAGTGTTTCTAAAATAATGTTATGAAGATAAGGAAGATTGGATAGATCATGTTCGTCGACCAATCGATCAGTCCCTACTTGAGCATCGAATTTAGCTCGAGCTTTCTCTAGCATCTCGGGTGGTTGAGCAAAAGAGACAAGGCTCATTCTATAGTCACCGATGAAGTGTCGGTTCTAGCTGTAAGCATGACCTACCAATAATATACTAGTGGTTCAATTGAATGCTCATTCCAGTTCAACGGTGAAGAATGACTAATAGGGAAAGAATATACTTACCAGTATAATCCCTTTGATCATTTGGTCCGTATAATCCCATTGATTTCCAATTATTATCATCTGCTCTTCTCTCTCAGCTGCTTGCTTGCTTGCTTATGAAGTAGTACTGCTACTGCTGCTCCTGTTGTTTGTGCAGGAGAGTTGAACTAGGTCCGTCTCTGGCGTTGATTGCAGATTATCTCCATTACTAATGGAGGCAGGAACGAGACTTAGACTTGGAGGCCAAGCTGAGCTTCTTACTTGTGCTGTGGGTTTTGGGGGTTTGAAGGCAGCGGCCAACAAGAGGAGTAATTTAGATTGTGAGATTAACCTTTGCATGTCTTTGTTTAATAAAGTTGAAAATATTAAAAAACGTGATTTAGAAATTAAAAAATTGAAAAAGGGGTTTTAGGTGCCGGCATGTGATCTCACGTGACTTAGTTCCGATTGAAATTGAAGAGATTTCGTCAATTGTCTACTTTAGCACAAAATTGAATAGATTGGGGACCAAAATTGATTTTCGAAATAGATTGGGGATAATTTCGCACATGCACTATAGATTGGGGACTAAAATTACAATTTTCCCTTTAATAAATGCCTATAGAACACGTGAACAGACCCTAAGAATAATACATATGATAATGTGAATGAAGAAAAAACATATGATCCTTACGATTTAAACTATGGATAAGTTTTTATTTTCTTGCAAAATTAGAAAATGGTCAGTAAGTATCATATCATTTTCACGCACTTCTAAAGTGGTTGTGTCGTCATTTTCATAAATTTTCTTCTAAAGATTCCACTGGAATATTAGCAAGTGGGTTGGACGTACCTATGTTTCCAAATAAAAGAAGCCAATTTAGAGAATATTAGAAATTGAAAGCTCCACAAATCCCTTTGCGTAGATAAGAAAGCAATCTTTATCAACTTTGACATAAAAATTAAACTAATACTCCAATGTAAACGTCCTAGGCTCACATGGCACTAAAATCAAATTTCAGTTATCACCTGCCTACATATATAGTTTCAGTTCTTCTAAAGTAGCATTCTAATTTCAGTATTCTGCTCAACTGTCAAGTTGGATATGGAGAACAAGATGGAGTTAGAGAAAAAGATGAGTGAAAGTGGAGAAGAGCATGGAGAGTCCAAAACAAAAAAGAGGCAACTTGGTGGAATCAAAACTTTGCCAATTATCCTTGGTGAGTCCTTTTTCATGGAGTCAGTTCATTTCCATTTTTTGGTTAAAGACCATTGTCTTAATTCTTGAATTTTGTTATCTTTAATTAAATGTGAATTGTATCTTTAAACTAATAGGTTATGATGATAAATGTCTTATAAGTTGGTTAGCTTGGTATCCCAACTGCCACTTAACTGAAAAATCATAAAATAAATAATGATTCCTAAACACAAATTTTGATATTCAAGTCTAAAATGGTACTTATACAATAAGTAACCTCACTTTTGATGCCAAAAATGGTAGTGTTCATGGTCGAACCTCCACTTTATCCCTCTTTCCACAAGAAAAAAAAAGCTTTGTTTCATCTTCGCAAAATGATTCTTATTTACAAGTACTTTAAATTTCGTTTCAAGCTGATTTTTGCTCAAATTGTGGAACCCAAACCGCCCCCCACACACACCTCCCCCCAAAAAAATTTCAGTAATGCTGACTGCTGATTTTTCGTGTTACTTCCTTATTCTACACCGCCTCCCTCCAAAGAAGAGGAAAAACATAGAGGAGAACATGTTCCACACCCATAAACTGGCAATATTTTAGACCACCCGTGAAGCTGCACTTAAGATGCTGAGTTCTTGAACAGAAGTTTGGATTCAGCTGTTAAAACAACACAAGCATAAAATTGCCAGTTTCAAAAATGGTGAAAATTGTGGTGGGAATAAATAATAGACAAATACGTAAAGACAAAAAAGTAATCACGCAGGTCGTTTTAGCTTGAAATAATTGCAATTAGTTAGGGAGCTGTCGTTATCGATTGAATTGTATAACAAATGGTACATCAAACTGTGTTATTACAAGGATATCAGGTTTTGAAGTTTATATTGTTTTCTGCGTTATTTTTTAATTCATTTCTTACGATAGACCAAGAAATATTTGTAGCTCTTCTTCGCAAAGGAAGTTTTGGTAATTTGTGTTGATGGCTTTGATCCATTTTGTTTCCATTACGTTAGGCATACCTTAATGCTTCTTTTGCGTGGAGCATTGAGGGGTTGAATACTTGTACACAATTTTTATTTTTCCTGCAGTTCCTGATGCCCCTCTTGATACAGTCACACATATTCTAAACTGTACGTAATATTACTCCAGATTAGCTAGAGATAGCCATTCTGCCATAAAAAATATTAAGGAAAAATATAATAACATTAAGCCGGATTTAGATCGAAAAGAATAATGACAAGCCAATAGTACCTTGGCCTAGTGTAAAATAACTGAGATTGAGGTCCTGACTACTTTCAAGAAATGTGGGTTTATTCCAAGTATAGGTCAATGTTCATTCTAAAACTTAATCGTTATTGGCTGTAATCCCTAGGCATTAATTTCATAATTATAAGTGACTTGTATTCAGCTATTCATGTTAAGAAAAAGAATAATCCCAAATTAGTTACATATTGTTGTAGGACCAACGTAACATTTGATTATTAGCTGGTGGCTTTGGATTTTGGTGTTTTGAGTAATCAAGAGCATATTGACTATAGAACAAAATGAAAACTATTGTCTTTTTTTTGTTTTATTTTTGTTTAACAAAATGAAAACTATTGTCTTTTTTTTTTTTTTTTTTTTTTGACTATAGAACAAAATGAAAACCATTGTCTTTTTTTTTTGTTTTATTTTTGATTTGACAGCAAACGAAGCATGTGACAAGTTTGCATCCACTGGCTTCCATGCAAACATGATAATATATTTGACCAAAGTGCTAAACTTGCCACTGGTGAAGGCCTCCAACATCCTCACCAACTTCAATGGAACGGCCAACTTCACTCCTCTGATTGGTGCTCTAATTGCTGACTCTTTTGCTGGCCGATTCTGGACAATAATTTTTGGATCCATCATCTATACACTGGTCCTTCTCTATAACTTTTGCTCTCTCAATTCCCCCCCCCCCCCCCCCCCTTCCTCCCTTCTTACGTAAATAATTAGATTTAAATATTCAAATATATGAGGCAGGATTATTTATCAGTGAAGCACATAATTATGGCGAGTTTTTGTAGATTTATATGCTGCACCTCACAATAATAATATTCACATTACAGGTAGCAAAAAAATATAGATTTATATGTAGAAAAGTTCAAAGAACCTAATGATGGCTTTTGTGCAGGTGAAGTCTAACAAGCCGAGTCGAGGTCAAACACGGAAAGAGTTCACCTGCAAAGTAGGAAGTGACCGGGGCTAAATTCCCTTGGATCACTTCGATGCTTAAGACAGTAATGGTTGGAAGTTATATTGAGTGAGATGAAGTGTGTACCTTTCAAGTGAGCAATGAGTTAATATTTCTACTAATGGAGTTAGGGAGCAGAACCTTGTAGAATAAGATAAGACAACCAATAAACCTATAATTCAACCCTACTTCTGACACCGCCATCATATCTTATCCTACGAGGTCAGGCTGTGGATAAACGTCATCATTTTGCTTCCTAACTCCACCATTATAAGTACCAACTCATTGCTCACTTGAGAGATATGCACATCAACTTACCCAATATAACTCCCGACCATTACTGACTTAAGTATAGGAGTAATCCCGGAAAATTAAGCCCCAGTCACTTCCCATTTTACAAGTGAGCTAGTCTGGTGTTTGACCTCGGCTCAGCTTGTTATACCTCGCCAGCATAGCTTTCAAATGATGAAAGTAATAAACTTTAATAAAAAAATTACTTTAGTGGAAAACAAGCCTTCAAGAAATGTACTTTTATAAACAATTGCTGCTAAATTATCATACTAAGCATGTGTATGTATTTTTTAACAAATCAATGGAGACTACATAAAATTAGTAAATTTGCATGCCCAAATCACTGTCAATTATTACATTTGGATTGCTATCATTAACAAAAAATTATTCGTTTGCATTATAAGTATTTTTTTAAATAATTTTTTTTATCTTTTCAAATATCATTTTATCTCGCATACGCCATATCATAAATAATATTATAATAAGTATTTCAAATAATATTTTAAATAATCTCCTATCCAAACATAGTAATTTTTCTCTGTGGTGCTTGGATCGATTATTACTCTATATAGGACCTGGAACCACCTTAGTTGAGTTTACACAACATAATACCTCATTAGAAGAATTTTTTAATCTGCATGGTAATTTATCAATTTCTGGTACATGTGCTGAATAACAATCAAATTATACTTTGATTGTAGAACAATTTTGGACATACGCCTAAGTAAATTTTTTTAAAAAAATATATAGTGAACATAGGCATAAAAAACTGTTCGACAAAATAAAATAGCTTGCATTTAAGCAAACAATAATGTAACTGAATATTTTTACACCTCTATAAATTGGTAACATCACAAACATTTTCCGGAAAAAATGCTCATAGCTTATACTTTATTAGTCCTCCACATTTAAAATAGTTCATTTTAGTCCGAAACATATTCAATACATAACAATTTGATCCAAATTTTGCTTTCAGCTGCATTTTGCATTAGAAAGTCACAATAGGATAGGACTACATGTTAATAATAATGTAATAGGTAACTAAAAAACCTACACCACTTGTATTGAAAAATAAAAGTATGTGTATTTCAAAGCTCTTTTAGAAAGTCAGAGCAAAAGTTAAAAAAGGTAACTTTTTCTGTTGATTTCAATCACAGTGTCCAATTTCAGTACATACTAAATGATGGTAGTAAAACTGGTATGAATTTTTTA